TGTGAAATGCTCAGAATAGGGATATCTATAGGGACAAAAAGTAAATCAGTGATTGGAAGGAGGAAATACAGACTATGGAAATGGTTTCTTTTTGGAAAATGTTCTGAAATTGGACAAGTAGTAATGGTTGTAAACTTTGTGAATATACTAACAATCACAACTACACTCTTCAAAGGGTGAATTCTGCTGGATGTGGTGGAGCATGTATATAATTCCAGCACGTGGGAGCCAGAGACAGGGATGATTACTGTTGAGTCCAAGGACAGCCTGAACTACAAATTCTGTCTTGAAGAAGGAGGAGGGAGGGAGGAGGGAGAGGAAGAGGAAGAGGAGGAGGAGGAAGAGGCGGGGAGGAGGAGAAGGAAGAGGAAGAGGAGGAGGAGAAGGAGGAGGAAGAAGAAGAGGAGCTAAATTGTAATTTAAAAAATATTTTTTTCTTGATTCCATCCCAACAATATTATCTCTGTGTGTGTGTGTGTGTGTGTGTGTGTGTGTGTGTGTGTGTGTGTGTTTTAGGGAAGGGTCTACAGGGTGTTCAGGGTCTCACTACTAGATCGGACTCGTAGTGATCCGCTTGTTTACAGCCTCCCAAGACTGGGGTTACAGGCACACGCCACCACGCCCAGTCTCTATACTTCTTGTCTCACTCATAAAAGGTGTGGCCACCTGATCTGCTTTAGCCAATTACATATAAAATATAAATTATAATTCACTGATAGATTTTTGGGGGGATGGGGAGTACTGGGAACCAAACTCAGGACCTTCTGCTTACCAGGTGGCGCTTATGCAACTGAACGAGATGTTTTAAGATATTTTAATTGCTTTTCTTTCTCTCTGTCTCTCTGTCTGTCTCTCTCTCTCTCTGTCTCTCTCTCTTTCTCTTTCTCATTCGCTCGCTCGCTCTCTTTTTGAGACAGAGTCTCACTATGTAGTTCAGGAGAGCTTTAAACTCACAGCACTGCTCCTGCCTCGGCCTCCCAAGTGCTGGGCTTACAGACCTGTGCCATCACGCCCTACTGCATCTCTTTTCCATTTTCTTTAGGTCTGGTTTACCCTGGAAAAAACTGGGTGCTGGTCCTACAAAACATGTGAAACAAGATACACTCAACATGTAGCTTGAGATAAATGCAAATGTGAACATTTATAAAACTATTATTTAACTTTGTTCAAGTACATCAACTAAGGGGCTGGTGAGATGGCTCAGTGGTCTAAAGCACCTACTTAGAACAAGCTTAGCAAAGCACAGGGACCGCGGTTCAATCCCCCAGCACCACATGCCAGCCAGACCCGCCCCCTGGTGGGCTGAGCTGGCCACACACACACACACACACACACACACAAAAGAAATAAATAATCAAGTACATCAACTAAAAAGCAAAGATAGATTATATATATATATATATATATATATATATTTTTTTTTTTTTTTTTTTTTAAACACATGGTATCTAATGACAAATTTTAAAGATAAAGGAAAACAAGATTTGGAAGCATATCTCAGTGGAGGAGGGCTTGTTAGCATGCATAAGACCTTCAGTTTGATCTTTAGCACCTCCCCCCATGCACACACAAAATACATAAAAGAATGGAAAAATATACAAAAAGTTGAAACTATTCAGAAGAAAACTATAGCGACTATAATAATGAGATAAAGTAGGTTTCCAAGCTAACAATATTACCAGAGATTATGTTTATTTCATGAGAAAATGCTAACAATCTTAAATATCTAAGTAGTAATACATATATATAATTTTTACATGATATATATATATATATACACACACACATACCCTGATATATATATCAGTGCAAAGACATTGAGTTCAATTCCCAGAACCACGCAATTACACACACACACACACACACACACACACAATATGTAGTTGATTATACCAATTATACATTACAAACCTAGTAAAAATGATCTTTGTGTTTACCCTTAAAGCTGATGGCATTTGTTGTGGCCTGTGTCTAGCCATCCCCCTAAAGCCTCATGCAGTAATAGCCACTTTTCCACAAGTGGTTAGATCTAGAGTGTGTGCTGCTGGGATTAAGGGTGTGAGAGTTACTAAATTAGTCCACCGATTGGTTTGGCATAGTTCTGGGTGTGAATAATGGGAGGGCCCACCCTGGGTATAAGTGCTACCCACCCAAAGAGTAGACAGCCTGGATAGAATACAAGGGACAGAAAGAAAGCTGCTGCCTTTGCTTGCTGCTCTGCATCTTCACTACTTTGCTGACTTCTGCTTTCTCCTCTGCTATGCCCATTTGACATGTTACACTGCAATGAAGGCAGCCAAGTATGAACTGAAACCTCTGCAAAGTGTAGGACAAATAAAGCCCTCCTCCTTTAACTTTGGGTGCTGGGTATTTTGTCTCAGCAATGAAAAAAGTAACTAAAACAGTATTACATACACACTTTGTGTTGCTGTTCAGATCAAGAATGTCCTCCAAGTTCGGACATGGTGGAGCACACCTATAATCCTGGCACTGGGAGGCTAAAAACAGAGGACCACTACAAGTCCGAGCTACAAAGTGAGACCCTGTACCAAATACATCAAATTAAAAAAAGAAAAAAAGAATGTCCTCCAGCCATCCATGGTGGTGCATACCTACAATCCCAACACTTGGGAGGCTGAAGCAGCAGGATCACTGAGAGTTTGAGGCCAGCCTGGGTGACATAAGGAGTTCAAGGCCAGCCTGAACTGTATAGCAAGAACCTGTCTCAAAACAACAACAACAACAAAAAAAAAAAAAAATTAAAAAAAAAGAACATCCTCCAAAGGCCTTGTGCAGTATAGCAATGCTTTGAGTTAACTGAATTATGGGGGCACTAAAGTTGATTTATTGTTAGGTGGCCAAGCCTGGTAAGATAAGGCAGAGCCACTGAGGGCATGACCTGGGAGTGTATGTTTCCCTCTCCAGCCTCTCCTTTCTTTCTCACCCTGTTTTCTTACCACTGTGACATGGTAGTGAAGTTTTCCTTCACTATGCCACTGTGCCATTCTGCCTTGGAGCCGGCAGACTATGAACTAAACTGTAAGTCAAAATTTACTTCTCCTTCTTTAATTTGTATCAGGTATTGTGTCTCAACAACAAGAAAAGTGACTAAGACACTTTGGCTGAACAGAAAAGATTACCCTCCCTTATACTTCTTTCTGAATGATGCCCCACAGAGATAATAATACAAAGAATCCAGAGTACACATTCCAAGCAGAGTAAGCAACCACTCCATACTCACTATGAGAAGATACTGTATTGCCTTCCATAGATACATTTATGAAAAGTTTTCCTCTCTAATCCACAAATCAGATATCCATATTGTATTAAATTACTTTGTACTTAAGCCAAAAGAGATTATGTAGTATGTAGTGAATGGTATATATGCATATGTGTTTTCAGAATTTTATGGTGTTGCCAAGATTAGCCTAAAACTTGAAATCATCCTGCGTCAGCCTTAAACGTACTTAGTACTACTGCTATGTGCCCCATACCTTACTAACTCAGAGAATTTAAAATAAAAATGGTAAGGCTTGGGATGTAGCTCAATAATAGAGTACCTACCTAATATGTGCAAGGCCTTGGGCTAAATCCCCCACACCATCCAAAAACTTATAAAATTCAGGAAGGACTGAGGGAATTTATTAAGAAAACAAAATCTCTGGGCCAGGGGAGATAGCTCAGTAGAATAAGCACTTGCCTGGCAAGTGCAGGGTCCTGAGTTCAATCCCCAGTACTGCCAAAAAAGAAAACAAAATAAAATCTCAGGCTGGATGTAATGGCACACAGCTGTAATCCCAGCACGCAGGAGGCTGAGGCATGAGGGTCACTGTAAGTCTGAGGCCAGCTTGAACTACAGAGTAAAACCTGTCTCAAAAAGAGAAAAGAGGGGCTGGAGAGATGGCTCAGTGGTCTAAAGCACCTACTTAGAACAAACTTAGCTAAAGCACAGGGACCACGGTTCAATCCCCCAGCACCACATGCCAGTCAGCCCCGCCCCCTGGTGGGCTGAGCTGGCCACACACACACACACTCTAAATAAAATGTAAAAATAAATAAATAAATAATTAAAAAAAG